ACCGGGAGTTTCTGTCCCCATCCTGGACCTCGGTGATACGCGTCTTGTGCCGCCAAAATTCTTCCTCAATTGCAATCTATTTTTGTAACAAAGCAACACCCTTTTTATATTCAATCAAAGTATTTTCGTCATCAGGGTGTTGCTGTAAGGCAGCTTCTAGGGTCTGAACACTATCCTCATACTCACGGAGCTTCACAAAAATATCCCCAAACACAGTCTTGCTCCACCTGCTCAGAACCTTACTCAGCCTGTTCAACTTGGTGGCAATCACAAACATAGGGGCCCCCTCAACAGGAACCTGCCAGCTATCACGCACCGCCCTCAAGAAATCTTCGTGTTTAATCCACACGTTCAGAAATACAAAGTGCTTCGGTACCACCTGCGTACTCAACAAATCACAAGATATTAAAAGCGGACTATGGTCAGATGTGGACTTTGACAGATGCCGTACAGATGTTCTGAACACCGATTCCCACACCGAAGTATAAAGGAACCGGTCCAAACGCATCCATATAGCCGCCTCCTTACGTCGCCCATTCCACCAGGTGAAACAGGAACCGTAGTAGGTCGCATCAATCAAGTCGCACGCACTGACACACTCCTGAAAATCAGTAGTCTTCCGATGTGAATACGGAAGCCACCTTTTTTCTCGTCCACACTTAACAAGCAATTAAAATCTCCTGCAACTAACCAAGGAACCCCCCCGGGAATCATAGAAAATACAGCTTTCAGCTCAACCCATAACGGGTCCCGAAGGCGTTCCTTGGTTTTGGCGTAAACAAATGAGAGCCAAAAAGGCGTGAAAACCGTAGAATGCACACAAGAAATCGTGACGCACTGCTCAGTCTGACTCTCAAATGTTACTGCCAAATCATTATTCCAAAAAAGCCAAATTTTATTATTATCAGAAGCAAAAACATTATCAAAATTAAACCGAATCCTGAAAAACTCAAGCCAGTCAGGCGAACTGAAAGGCTCGAGCAGACATAATATAAAAGGTGCATGCATTCTCAACAGTACACGGATTCTGCAAGCAGAACCCCGGGAGGACACTCCCCTCACATTCCAGACGAGTAGTCTCATACAGACGACAAAACTCCCGGATCCAAACGAGAGGGATCCCCCCCTATTCTGGTGTGACTAAGCTGACGTCTTACCGGGCCAATGCCTACTAGGCCTAGGTCCTCGGACTCTGATTCAGATCCCGAGGCCCATTCCTCCGGCTCATGATCTGCAACCGGGACGTCGGTATCTGACCACGCCTTTTCCTCCCCCCTCCTAGGCCCCCAAGGAACCTTAGGGTCAACTTCAAGTGCTTGGCAAAATGTCCTCTTATAACGGAAAGCACGGGCCTGCCATAAGAGAATTTTCCAATAAGTAGGGTCTCCCCTATTTTATTCATTTGTTGCACCTCTTTATCCTCAAAGGTAATGCAGGCCTCCCCTTTATAGATTTCAACCATTTTATCCGAGATACAAGGTCCCGGGACATAGTCTGCATTAACCCTTTGAGCTGGCAGACCCGTAGAAGCAAATAAACTAGCAAAAGTTGGGGCCGTACCTGAGCTCACGGCCAATGCAGAGCTACTTACCTGGGCCGTATTATCCAAACGTGTTGCCACCATTGTGGTGGCATTCTTAGCATTCTTAGCATGCAGAGAAGCAAGCCTTGCCCAAACATTGGGCATGGCATTGGGCAAGGCAGAACCCGAGACATGCACACCATTCTCATTGGTGTCATGCCTCGGATTTGGGGTGTTGTTAGGGGTTAGCAAGGAATTTTGCTTGCCTCTAACCACACCCTCTTGTGGGGTGTCCAATGGTGGTGTAAGCACATCAGTTCGTGTAGCATTCAAACTGCTCACACCAACACTATCCCCAGCTGGACAACTAGATGCCGGTAACATGGCACCAATTTGACCAAATTGGATCGGGGTGTTAAGCCCCATCACTTGGCTAGTATTTGCCATGTTACCACCATTTAGGCTCATATTTGCATTTAAGACTTGCCCAAATCTATTCCCCCCAAAACCACCCAAAGCCGAGGCCTTGGACGTGGGGCATGCAATGGACGGGGCACATCCCAAACTAGGCAAGATAGGGAGAGACTCACTTAGGGATTTGGCTACAAAACCCCCTTCTTTATATAGCATATCTTGCCCTCTAAGTGCAGTAGATGTACTCAAAATAACACCCTCATGGGTCCTATGACCAGCCAATTCCCCAAGGACTAGCCGATTAGGATTATCACCCCCATGAATCCTATGACCAGCTTGCCCATTATGAGCTTGCCGATTAGGATGTCTAAGTGGGGCATCTTGTACATCACCCATACTTAAGTTGAGACCAAAAGAAAGAGGAGAAAAAGGCATACCTGCTGCCGTTTGGTCACCACTTAGCCGTGAATGACCATTAACCTCCGGCATTGAGGCCTCTACATTAAAAGCCATCTTATGCGTTATGTTTGCAATTTCTGCCCCCTGATCCTCACGGGCAGTATCACCATTTGCATTAATGCTTCCCCCTTAAACAGAGGCAGAGTATGCACAATTGTGCTATAGGCTAAGCCTGCCGAAACATCACCTGGCAACTTTGCTTGACTAGAAGCCAAATTGCCAAGTGGTGGCATGTGGTCTAATGTTGGCATATTGTCCACACCAACATTAGCAACCAAACCCACCTTATTGTCTATCAAAAATGGGCAGTTCCACCCAAAAATCAAGCATAAATTATGTGATAGACAGTTAGGATTGGGCAAGCTCTCGGCCTTACCAAGAGATTGGGCGTTATCACCCTTGCCACGTTGCACATCCTCCAAGGCAGGGAGCCCACCAACACAAGATGAATGCAATGGACTACTTAGGCAATTTTGGCCTTTAGCCATACCACCACTTGTGTTGGCTGGCTCCACACTTCGTTTCCCCTTATCAAGCAGCATATGATTAACATTAAGACCATGTGGAGTTTGAGCATTATCCCTATGACCAGCTTCATCAATATGACTCAGCCGATTAGAGACATCACCTAGAGTTCTATGACTAGCTAGCTCCAATTGAGTTTGCCAATTAGAACACCTAGATGATGACTGCTCACCCCCACCCTTTAAGCTAAATAAAGGAGCTAGAGCACTACCTGGTAAATGGTGCTGCTTTGCCGAGGCTCCATCACAGCCATGGGAGACACCATATGGCCTCACCCATAGCCTCTTCTTTCTCCTTCGATGCGCACGGGAGACATGCAAATATTCTTGCATTCCCCTTTGGTCTCCGGTAGCAGCAGAATCACCATTGACCGCCTTGGGTCCATCAAGCTGCATGGACCCCATTATCTTCCTGCCTCCCTTGGGCGATGGAGCAACTGGCCGAGAGACCACCGCCGTCACCAAGGGCTCCCGGCGCTTCTTCATCTTAGGTTTTTTGACGTGGAGGACCTTAGACTTTGGCTGGAGAGGAAAACCACCAGACCAGCGACCCTCATCCTCCATCTCCATGCCTGCTCGAAGTAGATCCCAGAGATCATCCGGCTCCACCAATTTCTTCGCCTTTTCCAAGTCTCCATTCACAAACGCAAGAATGATAGCCGCCTTGGTCCAGTCCCCATGCTCCATGCCAGGCCTAGGCTATGCAGATGAGATGGCCACCATTGACGCTTGACCCTTCTCCGCCTTGCACAGGCCATGGCCTGCCGCACTCGGCCTGTCTACGGCCTTAGCGCCAGCCACAACGTCACGGCTAAATGCGCCAACCTCTGCGTTACGCCCTTCACACGACCCCTCCCTCCACTCTTCTGAGATCACAGCCCCACCAGAGCGAAGGCCTAAACCCTTGGCCGTGTTCGCGCAAACGCGAATCTCCCCGCTGACGACTTCGCACAACTCATCTCGCCCCTCCGTGGACTGGCCATCAGCCTGATCACGATGGCTCTGCTCCATTCCAACCCCTCTCGCACCCTTGACCCTGAGATGACCTTCATTCACCGGCAAAGTGGCCGGAACCGACGCGCCAGAGGTCAAGTGACCACTAATCGCCGGAGCAGCGATTGCACTCCGATTGGGCTCCTGGACCTTCTAAGCATCGCGATCTCTCCCCTGAAGCCCCTGGGCAGCTCCGAACTCCAAAGAAAGACCATCAGAGCCATGGATGGCCGGCGATGAGTGGCTGGCCGAGACCCTTGGTCCGTGATCAGGCTTCTCCAATGGCGTCCGATCACGCCGATCTTGATTGCGCTGAGATGCCCGTGGCTTGACGAACGCCTTAGAAAGCTTTGGGAGTGGATCGCCATTCTTGAAGCACCTGATCGCCTCTTCGGAAAAGACCAGACCTTCGCGACGCAAATATTGCGTACGGGTGCGGAGCTCCTGCAGGGTCTCCTGGATGGTGAATGGGAGTCGATCACCCATCACCTTATTCGCCTCGATGAGGCGAGGTTTCTCACCGACTCAGAAAGGCCGGCCGAGGCTTGCCGGCGCCAAAAAAGCCGGCCGGAAGACTTGCGCGGAATTATTCGCACTTTTTCTCTCCTTTCGCCAGAGCGTTTCCGAGACGTAAACCCTAAGTAAGTATTACTTACTTAAGTTCCTTAGTAATAATTCCTTAGTATTGCCCATTTGCCCCTGAAATCAACTATGTGATTATGGTTCACAATTTTCATTTTCAACATAAATAGTGTTTCACTTTGATTTTTTTCTGACATAAAGTACCAATTTCTATAAATTTCTCGACATAATTAAGTACCATTTCTCAGTTAAACCGAGGAATTAACCGTGAGGCGGAATTCTTCTTCCTTGTTGGTTAACTTCTCAATTTGATTGAGAAGTAATACTTTCGATGGGTTTTCATCAATCATGTCGTGGGAAGGATCAAATTTGAAAAAAATTAAAGTGAAGCACTAATACTTACGTAGGGAATAAAAGTTGTGAAAAAGCGATTACACGTCACCGTGTTTTCCCGGTATAGTTGTGAGTCGTGACAAATGGTTGGCCCCGACTTCGGCCACGTCAATCCCTTCTTCTCCTCCTCTGCTCTCACTCACAATTCAATCACAGATTCTTGCAGCACGTTGTAACGAACCCATGTCTCCCTGCATCTTTCTTCCCCATGTTCGTTTAAACTTTCTCTATCAATAAATCAGAACTAGGAGAATAGAAAACCTATACGGTTCGGAGTTACGGACTGCAAATGAGAAGGCTTTCGATTTTGGTATCTCCGGCGTTCGTTCACCGGACCTCTCAATTCCGTTGCAATGCTCTGCGTTTCTACTGTAATCGCCCCCATCCTGGTCCGTCCTCACCTATTTCAGTCTTCATAATTCAAATGCATATTTATACAGAATTATGTGTTCATTTTTGTATATGTTTGTTCATTTCCGTGTTGATGTTTATATTGATAAGGCCGTTTTAGGTTGATCTGCAGATGAGCAATTTTATGCCCCTTTTCCGCTGTAGAATTTTGTTACTTTATTTGCTTTACCTCGCATTTTAAATTTTGATTCTTAATTTAGGAAAATGAATTGTTGGAGTTCTTATGATGTGATTACGAGAAAATTTATGCATAGAAAGTCTTAATTTGAAGTTTTTGGCACTATTTCAGGGTAGACAATGGTAAAGGTAGCTGATTTAGTGGATAATAAGTTCTAATTGTAGGATGGTGGCCAGATAGCTTCTAATTGTAGTTTGTTCATTTTTTATGAAATACTCCGTTGAAGAGATCTCAATATTGCATCTTTAACCTCAGGAGTGCTTGCATATTATAGGAGCCTTGTTGATCAAGGGAAGCTTCAGCATGATCCTTACCAAGAAAAGATTGCATGTGAACTAGAAAATCTGCTTGGAAGATTGCAGCAGTATGAGAAGGAAATGGAGGAATATCATGTGGGATTTTCATCCAATATGACTTTTTAAATAGCTAAAAGATCAATTCAATGCAATACAATAATTATGCTTATGTTCCAACATTCATCTTTTTAGTTTAATCTTGCAAATTGGGAGGAGAGAAGGGAAAATGAACGACGCAGGCTTCTTATGGAGGAGGCAGAACAGCAAGATATGTCAAAACCTGTAAACAAGAGTCCTAATATTTTTCAAAAATGGATGTCTAGGTGAGCAAAAAAATTTCACAATTTTTTTTAATGAACTTATGAATATACTAGTTTTGTTTGCCTTTTATAACTTTGTGCAGACAGAAGCTTTTTCTTTGACAGGTTTACTTTTGGTTCTAATTATCATTCCTAGATGCAAAATTTTGTTGGAACATTTTGTTTTTGTTTTTGTTTTGTTTTGTTTTGTTTTGTTTTTTTTTTTTCTTTTTTCCCTGGGAATTATTATTATTATTATTTTGATAAGTAGACTCAGAAGCTTATCCTAAATGTTCAGTTAAAAATTCTGCTGCAGATACTAGAAATTTCAATAAAGTACTGAACTTTTGTTTGAAGATAAGCACATTAGCTACAGTCAGAATATATGAGATGGCATTTTGTATGGAGCAATATGTACCTAACTCTGTAACTTCTTGAGTACATATAAAGAGTAAAGTTAATTGGACTGTATGAAATATGTTATGGTGACTGCTCCTGGAAGAAAAGGCCACTGCTACATTACTGTTGCTGTTTCCTTATCAGTCAGTTTTTCTTTATGCTGCATAGTGATCTTCTTCTTTTATATATATATATATATATATATATATATATATATATATTTTAATTAAATCTTGGCTCAGGAAAAAACCAGCAAATGTGGAACCAGGAGTGGGAAAATGGGTTTCATATCTAAACCGTGAAAGGAAGTTAGATTCAGTAGTTGGTCGCCGTCCAAGTGCTCCTCCTGCACCAAAAGGACTATATCTTTATGGGAATGTTGGAAGTGGTATGCTGCCGTGCTTTTCTATACAATGGTTATTAATATGCAGAATAAAAAAATTGTCTTCCATATCTTGTATCTTTTACTTACATGTATGTTGTACTATGTGTACTTCTTACTTCTTATGATGCCTTATTTCATATGCTTCTTGCTTTTATTACCATTTAATGTCTTCTTGTGTGTATTTCGTTTGAAAGCTGTAATCATATGGTAGTTAGATCAAGCAATTTTCCCTTGTATCTGATAACTTTCCCTTCAAGTGTGTACAACTGTAATCATCATCTAAAGTCTAAATCAGGGGTGACTAATTTATGTTGGTCTGTGTCGTGTTTTTCCCAGTAGATGATTTGTATTCATGGATATGAAAATTGTGACTGCTTTCTGCATCATGCAGGGAAAACAATGCTTATGGATATGTTTTATGCCGCCACAGAAGGAATTGTGAAACATCGAAGAAGGTTTCACTTTCACGAGGCAAGTGCTTACTTATAATTATTTTAATGTTCCTATACCATCTTCTGTGAAAGTGTAAAACATTCTGAAGCAAAATTCTGACATTATATTATATCTAGAATGAATTTTCCCTTATGCAACATTGCACTTACTGCCTTTCATTGGAATTCATGGAAACCTTTGCTTTCAAAATTTCTGAATGAATGACTAGTCTTGTTAATTCATACCTCTCTCATGAAAACTTGGAATCACCACTACATCTAGGTTGCGTTTGGTTGGGGACTTTAGTACCCTACTATGGGATTTGATACCCATTATCATGTTTGTTTGCCTACTTTTGCTATCCTACTATTGGATTCAAATCCTTTAGTAATTATAAAACCCATTATCCTTTTCCTTCCCTACTTTTGAACAATGGAATAAAAAATGACGGAAGGAAAACATTAAAAAAATAAAAAATAAAAAGGTCATTGTCTGTGCATTAAATATGGAACTTTAATATATATATACACATATATTTATGTGTATATATATGTATTATATATTTTTATTATTTATTTTATTTTAATTAATTAATTATTTATTTTGATTCCAATTCTTATTTACTACCAAATAAAGAGACTCCTACTTAAACCCATTACCATTACCTAGTATTTGATTCCAATTACCATTCCGATTCCAATGTTTAAAACAAAAGCCCACCTAGTTTTTTTTTTTTTTTTTTTTTTTTTTTTTTTTTTTTTTTTTTTTTTTCTTTAGTTGATTTCTGATTCTTCACATGCAATTCACTTGATGGCATAAGATAAAATGGCAGGCTATGCTTGATATTCATCAACACATGCATAGGACATGGAAGGATCAGTTGGAACAGAAATCTCTACAGTCAAACATTGCTGGTTGGATCACGAATCTTCCTTTTGATACAAAAGTCAAAGAATGGATAGCTGCTGAAGAAAAATACAAGCAAGAGATTCAAATGAAGAACATCCTTCTTGATGTTGCTGATAAATTTCTCGTCAACCAGGAGGGGAACAAGAGAGGATCAAGCATTCTTTGCTTTGATGAAATACAGGTAAATGTCCAAAACACTAAAGAAAGTTACACAACCAACAGTAACTGATTTGTGATTAGAAAGTTTCATGGTGTGTGAAATGATTAGTTTGTTCAAGGGGAAACTGTCTGATGAAGCTTAGTCTGTTTGAGAATCTTTCCAGATTAAATAATTCATGATTCACTGTCTGTTTAGAGGGAAATGCATTGCTATTGGGAAACTCCTTTTTTAGTCAAAGATATTTTAGTTTTGTTTCTGGAATAACTCTATCATGCCACCTAATCACAAAAAATCTGGCCCCCCAAAGTGGCCAGTTCATCCCCCAAGATGTAACCTCCCAATCTTGACTGCCTACCACTCTTAATGGCAAATTTGAACAATGACCTTCTACATTTTCTCCTATATAGAATTTTAATGTAATTCTAGGAACTTACTATTAATTAAAACAATGTTTCCTATAAAATGAAGGGAAATGATTAATTTTCAGTTACAAAGAAAGAAACTTATTAAATGATCATATGATAATCACATTACACTTCTATCAGAAAATAAGCCTGTGACTAGATCATTATGTGGTAAATGCTTGTTATGAATGGGAGTGAAGTACTGAAGTTATTCATTCAGTATAAATTGTATATCAACCTCACAATATAGCTAACACATGGATGAAAAGAGTTTTCCAATTACAAAGGGTGAAAGGTGCTAAAATGTCTTAATTAAAACTCAAAAGCATATATTGTTGTTGAAATTTTCTCTTTCATCTCTGTTTCTTAGGTAATCATGATGTAAAAATGAAAGATCATGAAAATTAATTGTTTCTGATTGGTATAATTTGTTATTACAGACTGTTGATGTTTTTGCCATTGTGGCCTTGTCTGGAATTGTAAGCAGATTGTTGAGTACTGGAACTGTTCTTGTGGCAACCAGTAACCGTGAACCAAGAGACTTAAATCAGGTGCATCTGAGTCCTTCCTCTGGAATTATGTTACATGCTTAAAGATCTTATCGGATCTATGCTACTCTGTTCATCTTAGTTGCCCCAAAAATATTCATTGACTTCATCTGAGAGGAAATGTTCTAGATAGTTTGGTTAATACTTTGATTAACATTCTTTGAGCTCAATTTTATTTATTTTTGTTTTGTTTTGTTTTGTTTTATTTTATTTTTTTTTTTTTTTTAATTTTTAATTTTTAATTTTTTTGGTGTCCAGGATGGTATGCAGTGGGAAATCTTTGACAAGTTAGTAGCAAAACTTGAGGAACACTGTGAATGTGTTCTGATTGGAAGTGAAATAGATTATCGCCGTCTTATAGCTCAAAGATCTACTTATCAGGCAAGCTCAAGCTTGTTAAATAGTCCTTTTCGTGAGTAGTGAATGCGGAGTTTATACCTTGGGATTTACAATGTCAAGCATGATGTTCACATAGACAAATTTTGAAGTCAAAATGCTGATTGTTTTTCTTGAATATGCTTGAACGCATGTTTCTTAGGATTAATAAAGTTGCTAATGATCTTCAGGTTCACTACTTTTGGCCTCTGGATAGCAAAAGTAAACAACAGTTTGAGGACATGTGGAATGAGGTCATCAAACAGTCTGGTGGACAGGTTACTTCTAAGACTGTTCAAGTGATGTTTGGAAGGTATTTTGATACTTTATTTTTCCTGAAACTTTTATTTGAGTCATGTGATGGACCTGCTATTTCCATCCAGAACCTTGAATGTTCCTGAGAGCTGCAATGGGGTGGCACGATTTACATTTGAATATCTATGTGGCCGACCGGTAATTGTGCCTTCTCTGGATGAGGATACTTTATATGATAATCAGTTATTTCTTCCTAAAACAGCCCAACCAACCTCAAAAAATAAAAATAAAAAAAGAGCAGTATTTCTATTAAGAACATTTAGGGTGTGTTTGGTTCGCACATGGGAACCGGAATCGGAATGGGAATTAATGGTAATGCGTTTTGGTAAAAGTATTTTGCATGTTTGGTAGTAGGATGGAATTGGAATGATTACCAATATTGTTGTTTGGTTATGTATGATTCTATAATGGGAATAAAGGTTTTAAAAATACAAGAACAAAAAATCAAGACAATTTATTCTAATATAAAGACATCCAATTGTCCAAAGCACCAATATGAACAAAAAAAATAAAAACAAAAATCTAAAAGCACTAATCCAAACTTAAAAATCAAATTACGAATTAGGAGGGGGAACAACGGAATGAAACCCTTATTTTATTAGGGAATAGGTTTTCTAATTAAGGGGGTAATCAAATCCTATAGTCAATGGCGGACCCAGAAAATCATCTGAGTGGGGGCGAGGGCAAATATTAAATGATGTTAGAAATGTCAATAACAAAATATCAAACAACCATAATAAGGTTAAAATACAAAATACATTATAAATTACAATATATTTATGAGAAAATATGAAACATAATCAATTAGATAAAATAATTTGAATAACAATATATTCATAAATACTTTTAAATTTTAATTTCTTTTGTTTAGATCGATTTTTCTAAATTAATTCGAATACAATAAAGTATATTATAAACTTGTATACTACATTAATTAAATGATTTATAAAAACTAGACTAAAAGAGTATTTAATTTGTTAATTAAATGATTCATAAAAAGTAGACTAAAAATATTTAATTTATCTTGTGAAGAAATGAAAGAGAGAAGATAATTAAAAGTTGTGCTAATGAGATTTGAATCCATTACATAAGCCTTTTATAAGATAAAATTTAGAGTTCAATCAACTAAACTACTCAAACTATTGGCATTTTCATCATAAATATTGATTTTATATAATATTTCATACTATATATGTGTACATATACATACATATATAGGTGGGGTGGGGGAGTGGGGGCAGCTGCCCCCACTGCCCGCCACTGCCTATAGTAGTGTTCTAGACTTCTAGAAACCTGTCAACCAAACAATAACAATGACTTTGATTCCCATTCCTGATAGTTAAACCCATGAACCAAACACACCCTTAGTGTTTTCTTGTAAATCCAATGCTGAATCTCTCATTTGCATGCATTCTCTACCAAGTTATCCTTCATTATAGCCCATCTGTCTCTGTTATTTATATATCGTACTTTAGGGCTGTTTCACACACCACTACATGTCTACTTACCTATAAAAATTGAAATTACAGAAAAAGCTCCATCCTTTAATTTTCCCCTTTCCAATAATCAAGCCCCTTATCAAAATCAGTCAACCTCAGGTATTCCTACTACTAGTATAAGTGTATAACAATATGAGAATAGAATTTAAACATTATAAAATTAGAATAAATACTGGTAATGTTTTTCTCTTGTGACCATTACCATTCCTTTCTGGATTTTGGCCATAGTTTATACTGTTTGAGCACTCACCAATAATACCTGTAGCATCCATTATTTTTCATTGGAGCCTCTTCTTTATTTAGTGCTATGTGTTGAACATTTGCAGATTGGAGCAGCAGATTATATTGCCATAGCCAACAACTATCACACAGTCTTCATCTCAGACATTCCTATAATGAGTATGCGCATTAGGGACAAGGTTAGATTTACTGGGATTTAACCAGGAAGCTCTATTTGATTTTTCTCCTGTTGTGAATGTGTTAGATCAACTTGGATTCTACCAGCCAGCAGTGACTTTCCATTGTTTCACTGCTCACAGCACCATGTTAATCCTTTATAGCTTTGTCAATAAATCTGGAACCTAAGTGCAGAGTGAACCAATGCATACTACTTTATCAATTGGATTGAGAAATTGCTACTGCATTGGTGGCTTGCCTTATTTTGTGTGCGTTTGAGGAGAGGTACCAACAGCTTAGTCTGCTGTTGGTAAATAATAAATAAAAATAAAGATTTCAACACACTTAGGATACTTGCATCTACTTTTGTAGGCGCAAGGTCCTCCTCTTGTTATGTTCTTTAGTATAATCTCTGTGGCGCTATATAGGATAGTTTCTTTCTAAGATGTCCTGCCAGAAATTATGTATCTTTGCTCAATTGCAGTTGTTTAAAAACAATTCCATGCTTTCTGTATGACTTTCTGTGTTTCAGGCTAGGAGGTTTATCACCCTGATTGATGAATTATACAATCACCATTGCTGCCTCTATTGTTCTGCGGAATCTTCTATAGATGATCTATTTCAAGGAACAGAAGAAGGAACATTATTTGATTTGGAAAGGCAAGTACACTGCCCTGTTTATTTTACTTGGGACTCCTCAGTTGATTATCATGACAAAGATAAGATTGTAATCAACAGAAACAAGGACAAGTTTCATGATACTTGAACACTCGCAAGGAATTTTCATACATGTGGTAATATAAAATGAATGGCCGCATGTGACATCAGCTGTTTACTTTGCAATTAGGAATTATAGCTTTAGCAGTGGAACTGCATGTGTTAAATCCAGTTTGTTTTTTTTTTCCAGTTTCCAATTTGAAACAGAAATAGAAGGTGGGAAACTTCGGCGAGATGTTTTAGCTGAAGGTAGTGTTAGTTCAGGTGGCTCACCAACTGGTATTATTTCCCTGCTTTCTGGTCAAGAGGAGCTGTTTGCATTTAGACGAGCTGTGAGTTATCCTTATATTTCCGTGTCATTGCATGCTCTCTTGGTTGTGAATTCATTTGCTTGTATAGATGTGTTAGCTTATTGGTAAAGTAAATGAAACTTCACCCGTTACAATTACCCAGTAGTAAAACTCGAATCTTTGTTGCGCAGATTTCCCGCTTGATTGAAATGCAAACTCGTTTCTACCTCGACGGCACTCGCCATCTTCATCCATATTTTCAGTCGCGAGATGGAAATCTTGCGCACATTGGTGACAACTAATGCCCATTCAAAAAGAGTTAGTTGTGTTATATGCCTTATCTTTCTAAACATTCTTGTTCCTTTTTATCATCCTTTCGTCCAATTCATTGTCCTGTTGCTAAGTTTTCCTGGGACAGCACACAATGCATATCACATCCCCGGTTGAAAGATTCTGAGAATGTTTCAGCGATAGCAATAAAAGATCAACAATTCATTCTTCTTCTTTGTATGAAGATGTGTAATTGAATCATTTGTACTGATTATTACAGGTATTTATCTTCTACCTATTCTTATTGGAATTTTTTTTTGGATGCTATTGACTCTATTACATTATAGTATCTATTGAAACATACTTTCTCAATCTAATGAAGCACAAAGAGTCAACAACGCCTCAACTGAGGCTCGATCTCATAACTTTCCACATGGGAGAGGTCACACTACATGCTACCTTGTGCTGGTGCTTGGCTATTCTTATTGAAATTAGTTTGTAATCTTAATGAGTTTTTGAAATGAAGTTCATTTTACTTTTTCAAGTACGGGGAGAGGTTCTCCATATATATAAAGCAACACTATATATATATATATATATTTTTTTTGAGGTGACGAGGGAAAACCTGCCTTGTGGTTACAAGTTTGTATCCTTAGTCATCTTGGCTGTAAAAACTACAAGAGGTTGGTAGTTCCTAAGGTACATTATTTGTTGGTTTTCCTATACCTTTTGACTACCTAGCTACCGGAGGATTCCTGCACTTCTTCTGCGTCAAATCCTGCAAAGTTATTATATGAAGATCAGAGTTTAAAAAAAAAAAAAAAAAAAATACAAAAAGGGAGATGGTTGAGATGATGGATGATGAAACATACTGGATATACTCAATGTTGATTTTGGCGTTTGGAGAATTGGAAATCTGCGCAAAGGCATCACTGGACAGGACAATAGTTGAAGGGCATGGGCGTTTGGGGCAGAAATCCACCACCCTAACGTCGATGGTGTCACCCTTGCACGGCCGGTTGTTGCCGCTCAGGCAGCTCAGCCGGTAGCGCCGCCCGCAAGCAGCTCCATTGTCCCACAGCCCCTCGCTTACCGCTACGAACAGATTCCCCGCCGGGAACTGGTCTGCCCTGTTCCCACCGCACCTAGTCGCTATTCCCACCAACATAAATATAATAAATAATTAATCTCCCTACTTATTATAAACAAAAAATTTGCACACTTAAATTAACTTTTACAGTTCTAACCACGTAATCTTGCATGTTGATCATTTAAAATATGATGTGCCACTAAAACCTTTTCGGTGGTAAAAAAGAAAAATCATTGAGGTACTAAACTCCGTGATAGATTTATAATGGACTTCGAAAGACATACAAATAAAACGAACACTTAATAGAATCTATACTTATTTAGATGAAGTACATTGGCAATAAAGGGGGCTCATGACCGGCTGGCAGAGGCCGAGCGCCCTCCCAGTGCACCGGTGGCACTACTATTAGCGGAGTGGTGAAGATGGTACGATGTGATAGGACATACAAATAAAGCGAATACTTAATAGAATTCTATACTTATTTAGATGAAGCACATTGACAATAAAGGGGGCTCATGACCAGCTGGCCGAGGCTGAACCCCCCCCCCCCCCCCCCCCCGCCCCTATGCACCGGTGGCATTACTATCAGTGGAGTGGTGAAGATGGTACGATGTGATGGGGTGTAGTACATGTGCATAGCGTACGTGACAAGAAAGAGATAAGGCTACATGTGGATGGTAGATATGGAGGGCAAGCCAAGTCGACACACTTGTCAAGCCAGGGAAGGGTCTTCAACAATAGAAAAGGGTACCCCTGTGTCCCTTCTTGGACATCCTTGTCTTAATACTACAATACCCCTAGTCTAATGGCTTGTGGTCCTTACTTTCAGCAAGAGCACTACGGTTCGATCCCTCGCACCTACATTATTATTACTAGTCTACTTATGTCGTTATCTCGGACATTGTACCTACCTTTTTGAATCTAGTGCTCGAGCAATAAAGTTACTATTTTCCTACTCTCATTCTATACACGTATACTACGTTTATGGTGGACTTAAGTCTCATAAAATCATGAAAAATGTAACACAAGGACCAACAAAAGGAAACTAAAACAAGAAAATGAGTGCAGTACTCACGAGTGTATGGGGGATTATAAGAAGTGGCAGTGCCAATATCCCCAAGAACTAGAGTGCCTTTGTTGCAAAATATGCATAAAACTATTGGTATGACTAGATAGAGTTCCATTGTATGATGTTTTTGCCTTCTTTTCAAGAGTGTGCTGAGAGGATGATTTTATAGTTGGGAGTTGAAAGCTATCGATCTATCCTAGTCTTAATTACCAATGTTAATGTATCAAGAATTGACCCCACTTTGAAAGCACAAAGAAAACTGTTATTTTTCATACTAAATTTAATTCCTAATAATGTTCGTAGGGGAATGAAACGTCAATTCCTAAATTGAAACGTTAATTCCTAAATACAACAAATGATACGTCAATGAATGAATATTATTGGTGATTTTGGTAATATACACACACATAAAAGAGGCAATTTTTTTCTTCTTAAAATTAAAAGGCAGTAACACTTTTTATAAATAAGTAGAAGTTAGAATGAATAAATTAAATTATATATATTTGCTCTGATTTGTGTTTAGACTTCCTAACCTATCTATGTGTATTTAGGCCAAAATGATATGAATTTTGACTGAAATTATGTGTGTTTGGACAATTGGACCGTGATTATTTAGTCTAAAAGAACGCATGTAACAAACCATGCATATTTGTTTCCAAAATGCATGATACATGTCAAGGTGCTTGTTGGGCATCGGCCGGGTCGGCTGAGTTCAGCTGTTCTTCAATTCGAGACGTGGCGCTATAGCTTACCATGGAGGAATGTGGTTAAATGGTTAATGTCCACCTACTCATCACTAATTGGTTTTAAGAACGATATGACAACCAAATAATCAAAGAACTCTGTGGTTAAGTATGTACATGACTTACAAGATGGGTGTAGAAGGTTTTCCCCAAAATGATGTGAAAAGACATTTACATTTATATTTACAAAATAAAAATATTGCATCTTTTATTTAAATTTATGCATTTTTTTGGATAATAAAATTGGATTAAATTATAGTAAAGTTTCAAATTTAAATATAATCATCATAACGTACAAACATTTAAATTTTTTCATCTATAATAAAACAACAAAAAAGAAAAACAATATACACACATAAACACGCTCTTTTCTTCTTCTTTCTTCATTTTTCTTCTTCTACTTTTTTTGTATTAAATGAAAAACTTTTAAAAGTATAATAATAATAATCTTATATCACTACCACTTAGGCACTTAGTATAATTTGATTTGAAGTGCACTTTCATAGCAGCCAGACTATGGTGCTTTTGATCAACCCACTATAAATTCAAGTGATCAAATTAATTAGTTTGAATCTGATTCTCCCGCCCTAGAAATTAAGTCGAGTCCTTAACTCCACTACAAAAGTCAATTTATGAGTAAAGACTAGACATTAACTTAAATATCATTTCACAAACTCTAATAGAGCCAATGTAGGATCATATTAATAGGCTTTTAAGGTGTTTGCTTTAGTGAAACATCTTAACCATGATTTATTATATTATCATTTTTTTTCATTATAAAACTGTTTAGATTTAGATAGATAAAATGCAGTGCAGATATGAGGTAATGAGTGCATGGCGCACTGGAGCTAGCTTAGGAGGATAATGACACGTTCATGGTCTTGAAAGTTAAACCATTATTAATTAATTAATTAATTAATGGAACAAATTGTTTGCTTTATCTCCTTCATAAGATCCCACTAAACAGTGCTTTGCACGTGTAATTATTGTGAATTGAATTAAGGATCGGATAACCTCAAATCAGATCAGTTCAATCAATCATCGCATGTTATAAAACAATGGACGACACACATGTTTATCTTGTTCCAAAAAAAAAAAAAAAAAAAGTTGCATTTTAGGGTCCTATGATCTGATTTAGTGCCTTTGTGGAGATTACGTAACATTACATATCCACGTTTTAGTTTAACTTATTGGATTCCCTTTTCGTAGTACTCAAATTAGAGATGTTAATTAGTCACTCGTTATACCGTGGACCAGGGTGCACAAGCGTGGACCCTGGTCTTAAACGACGTAGTTTTGAATTTTAATTTTGACGACGATCGTTTGTTGTTCAATTCACATTATAGGTTTTTTGTTTTGTTTTGTTTTGTTTTGTTGTGTTCTTTTAACTGTAAAGCATGTGTATGTGTCTTGTGTTATGCATTTCTGTGTCTCATGTTATGCAATTCTATACCTTTTTTTTATATCAAATGGAGGGTGGACAACCCAAAGAAGCCGAGATTACATTCTATTTGCATGATCATGAACGCTACGCCATGTAGGGATACCAGAAAGATTATCCTCAAGTAAGCCTCTGATTGTGTCTGGGGGATTAGAGAACACCTGTAAGCCCATCGGTGAGTTCCTGGACATCTTTGCCAAAGAATCTGCTACTTGGTTCTGTTCGCGAAGAACTCCAACAACCTGCCATATCTCGATTTTTTTGAGCTCATTCTTGCAAGCCTCCAATATGTTATGGGCTGTGATGCGAGGGGGACGAGATTCAATCATGTATTTTACCACCTCGCTGGAGTCGGATTCAAAGATTGCTTTGGAGTGTCCGCCTTCGATAGTTAGTAGGATTCCTTTCAAGAGCGCCCATGCTTCTGCCTCAAAGGGTGAGCAAAACCCAATGGCGTAGGTAAAACCGGTGCACCACTCACCCGAACAGTTCCTGATGCAATTCTATACTTTAAGTGTATGGATTCTGTACCTGAACTAAAGCAAATATAAAACATGTGTATGTGTCTTATGTTATGCGTTTTTGTGTATCATGTTATGCAATTCTGTACCTTAAGCGTATGAATTCTGTACCTGAAATAGATTGGTAGTTTTGTATCACACAACATAATGTGTGTCTTATTTTACGAATTTATGTATTGTATTATGAAATTATGTGCCTATAGGACATATATTATCTACACAAATCAGAATTGAGAATAAGTAAATATGTAACATGTGTATGTATATCTTGTTTTATGAAATTTTGTGCCTTAAGAGTATTAATTATGTGCCTAGAATAAATTAAAATTTGTGTTAAAACATGAGAAATGAAAAACTACAGAATCTGTTAAAGTTTAAATGTCAAAATAACGTCGTTTTAATCCAAGATCTACAATGCTATGTGGACCCTAGTCCACGATATATATTGCCTTAATTAGAAACCTTGGCCTATTTCTGATATTTTAAAAAAAAAATTGTATATTTTATTATTTTGGTTGTAGAAAATTGTATATTTTCTAGCTCGTTGGATAAAAGTTTGTGTTTTTCAACCGTGTCAGACAAGCTAATTTTGAGACTTCATTTAAGAAAATTCAAATATATTTTTTAAGAGTTTAAGAGCAACCCCAATAAGGGATTTTACGCGGTATTTTAAGTAGAATTGTTTAGCTTGAAGGTAGAGAGAGAAGGATAAGAATATAATTGTGTTGTATTCAATCATAATGTCTGAGAGTACAGAGAGCGAATATATAGGTACTATATAGAATCCTAGTCTAACACGAATAATATAGTCCTAGTCTAATATGGATAACATAGTCCTAATACTCCCCCTCAAGCACAAGGTTGGCTAGCCAAAACATTGAGCTTGTCACGGAGAGAATTAAAACGGATAGACGAAAGAGACTTAGTGAAGATATCTGCTAGTTGATCTTTGGTTGAAATAAAGTGCACATCCAACTCCTTTTTGGCTACTTTATCGCGAACAAAATGATAATCAATCTCAATGTGCTTCGTGCGTGCATGAAACACTGGATTGGCACATAAGTAAGTAGCTCCCAAATTATCACACCATAGTCGAGGAGGAGACGCAAGTGGGATGCTGATCTCGTGTAGCAGAGGCCATGTAACCTCAGCAGATACATAAGCCAGACCCTTGTATTCTACTTCAGTTGAAGAACGTGCCACTGTCCGTTGTTTTCGACAGACCCAAGATATAAGATTACTCCCCAAGAACACAGCAAAACCACTAGTAGACTTGCGATCATTCGGATCGCCAGCCCAGTCTGAGTCAGAATAGGCGTGAATATCCATCGATGCAGACCGATAAATACGCAGACCAAAATGCAGGGTGCCTTTGATATATCGCATGACTCTTTTTAGAGAGGCCCATTCCGTAGTAGTGGGAGCATGCATATGTTGACACAAGAGATTAACAGCATAAGACAGATCAGGACGAGTTACCGTAAGATATTGGAGAGCACCAACAAGACTTTTGTATTGTGTTAGATCGGCGTAGGGAGTGGCAACATCGTCGGCGGTTTTCGCGGCAGAGACAGGCGTGACCACTGGCTTACAGTCCACCATGCCAACACGTTTGAGAATATCCTTCATGTACCGTTGTTGAGATAAAAGCATACCACCAGATAACGGGACGGTTTCAATTCCCAAAAAGAAAGAAGGCACACCCATATCACGAATTTTTAAACTCAAGTGCCAATTTATCAATAAGAGCAGTAACACAGTCTGAGTCAGACCCCATAATCAAAATGTCATCAACATACACCAAGAAATAAAGATGAACGTTATCACGAGAATAGATAAAAAGAGACACATCAGTCTTTGAGGGCGCAAAGCCCATAGAGACTAGAAAATCATGTAACCTTGTGAACCATGCACACGGAGCCTGTTTGAGACCGTAGAGAGATTTTTTAAGCAAACACACATGATCAGTTAAAGACTGATCCTCATAACCAGGTGGCTGGCGCATGTAAACAGTCTCAGCTAGCTCGCCATTCAAAAAAGCATTGTGAATATCCAACTGGCGAATAGACCACCCACGCGATACGACTAAAGATAAGAGAAGACGTACTGTAGTGGGTTTAACCACAAGACTAAATGTCTCAAAAAAGTCCTGTCCAGTAACCTGAATAAAACCCTTGGCCACCAACCGTGCTTTATGACGTTCTATTGAACTATCGACTTTCCGTTTGGTTCTGAAAACCCACTTGCAACCAACAACGTTCATACATGGTTGAGAAGGAACAAGACGCCATGTATAATTATGAACCAAGGCATTGAACTCTGCGTCCATTGCATCACGCCACTCAGGAAACTTGACCGCCTGAGAGTAACAGGTAGGCTCAGACACCACGGTGGAAGTAGTGGTTAAGGC